AAAATTAGTATGTGTTGGTGTTCAAAAGTTGGAGATGGCATAAGATAACTTTGTTTTACAATGAAATGAGGGAGAATTAAAGCACTTGTTTATAAAAAGTAAATAAATCTAAAAATAACATCGATTATATCATAATGCAACTATATCCTTTAATAAGAGAACAAACAAACATTAGGATTATCCGCAGAAAATTAGAAAGAGTGGATAAACGTCTTAGCGTAATTATTATGTAAATACGCAGATTCTAATTGATCTAAATTACGTATCTCAAATACTTCGATAATAGATATAGGTACCTTAGCATATAAAAAACCTTTCTCTATTGCCAGTTTAGTACGCTACTGTTTCTGAATCAATTATTTTCAATTTTACCATCATCAAGAGTGTCGTTATTAATATTCTCTACTTATTTTATTATGTCGCATACACCGTTTATTGTACTTAAGGGAGTTATGTTTAAAGTGCCCTATATGTGAAATATATTACGGATATAAAAGTTTGTTGTTTATGTTGTAATTTAATTTTCTTATTTATTTTTACTGTTTATTTTAGTATTTTAGTAATGAAATTACCTTTTCAGACATTCTGGATGACAAGAAAATGGCGTCTGTATTTCCCAATGGCGAGTTTTTAAAGACACAAATTTAATTCAAACATTTTTTAAAGAACTAAAGTTTGCGCTATTTATTTTACCGAATGTATAAAATTATTTTAGCACTTTAAGGACCGTACGGTTGCTCTTCAAATGCTAAGATTTTTCTTTGTGTCTACATCTCCGTTACATGTTGGACATAGCAAACTTCTTGCCTAGTGTTGTAGCAGTTAACTTGGGACAGAAATAGACTTGATTTAACGAAAATCTGGATAAAACAAATCACAATATAATTGAAAATACCGTTCGAAGCAAACTCAACGAACTTCACATACAGGGTGGGACAAAAATACTAAAAAACTGATTAAAAAAACTGACTTAATCAACTACACATACAGTGGGATACAAAACAACATACTCGATAAACTTCACATACAGGGTGATACAAAAATACTAATAATATTGAAAACTTGACTTTTGAGTGAGCTACACAAAATAAAACACCTTGCTCTTGTTCTGAAAAGTAAATGAGAATGTTCCTATTCAAAACTAAACAGCACCTCCGATCACGACTATTACACTTGTCATCATTCAGATACAAGACAGGAATCACAAAAGGGGACTCAGGGGAACACAATCTCCTATTAACCCGTGGCATCACAGACACCGTCAGAGAGGGTTAATTAGGGAACAACAGGGGAACACAAGGGACTACTCTTCTCATTCACAATCTTCTACTAGCCCGTGACATAACACAAACGCCGTCAGAGAGGGTATAGAGGAAACAATGAAATGGCTAAGGACAAGGGGCAAAGGACAAAACACAACTATACTCATCAGCTCAAAGAAAAGTCACTCAAACAATAAACACATTTACTCAAAATGACCGGACAAAACAAAACTACAAAAAACGATTATTCTGTAAGAAATGTCAAATCAATTAAAAATAAATGTAACAATAACGGTATAATTTGTTACTGTAAATATCTTAAAATTTTTCTCAATATCAAAGCGTTATTTAAAATTCAATTTAAATATTCAATCTCAAAATATTTGCTTTCATTTACCAATACACATAAAATACATATAGAAAAATTTTTACAGTACATGAAATATAAGAAACAACATATGTCAATATACAACAAATACATATGTTATATTCTATGTATTGTATTTGTATTAACATATGTATTATTGTATATATAAATATATACAATAATACATATGTTAATACAAAAACAATACATAGAAAAAACAACAATACATATGTTGATACAAATACATAAACAAACTGTTTGTGGGACACCAGGGCACTATCTAAAAGACGGGGTTTCATATAAATGGCTGAAAAGTAGGGAAGAACTAAAAAGATTGTGGCTTCGGGAAAAGGGACAAATTCTAAGATGCAGGAAGATTCAAAACCCTGAAAAATGCCCCACGCCAAGGGCGCCATTTTTGTAACGAAAATATTTTGCCTACCAAAGGGTTCATTAATACAGGGGGTAGAAAATTGAGGGAAGAAACTATTGGGGGTGGAGATAAGGCAAGCAAAATAATCGTTACTTGTGTGAGCGGCACTCAGGGTTTGGTAGGAGAGCTGGGATCGTAGATAAGTAAAAGATAAGGGGGTTGGATAGGGGCAACTACAAAAATGAAATAAAGGGGTCGTTATTCTCTTGGGATAAACAAAATAAAAATAAACAGGAAACACCTCAAGGAATTTAGTATGGGTCGCCACTTGAGGTGCCTTATTATACCTATTACAACCACTAGTTGTAACTAGGAAAATAATTAGAAAACATCAAAAACATATCTTCTTCAAATAAAGCTCAAAAAAGGGTTAGCTCAAAGAAATAAATAAAATGTTAAGAAAACAAAATTTAACATTTATTTTTGTGTCACCACAAACAGTTACAACATGAAGAAATACAAGAATATAAAAAACTTACGTGTGTCATCCGCTTACAAACTCCAGGAGTTGGAGATACTACCTAAAACTTACAAATGTTACCGCATTACAATTTTTAAATGTTACAATTTCTAAATTTCAACAAAAGCAATTATTGTTCTAAAAAAATATCTGTCTTTACTTTTAAATTAAACAAACAATAAACAGTTACCTGGATTCACATATTTCCACTTAACAAAAAAAAAACTTGTTACATCTCTGGATTGGAGCTGCTAGGACGAAACTCTGGAACAAGGGGAAACCAATTCCATACTGGAACGAAGATCTGATGTAGACGGGGTTGGATTAAGCAGGCAAACGACAAAAAAAACTGGTGGGACATCCTATATATGTCTTCAAAATTGTACCATGCTCTGGTACATCACACAAATTATTTTTCCTACTGCCATATATTTCCACTAAAAGGGCAAAAACAGAAGAACACAAATTCGACAGAGAATTTGTGGATCCCTTCTTGCGATCCACACAGCGAACCAAGTAAGAAACTATTTGGTCACACCTGACTCCATCGGCAACCCAAGTACAAATGACGAATTTAAAAATTCGTTCGCATAACTTGAAACTAAAACAAAAGCTGACATAACAAAACACAACGAAATTACAACGTAAAAGATTTCACTTCTACAACGTATAAAAATTATAATGCGACTTCGAATAAAACATTAAAAGAAATTGCCGAAAAAGTTAAAATAAAAAACAACTCTAAAATGGTTTATTTTAAGATCTAGCAATGCAAATATAATTATTGAAAACAAATAAATTATTGAAGTATTTAAAGAAATTGTTTCCTTAATTAGAAACCTGGATTCTTAGCTAGATAATACCAAAAAGGGTCATAAAAAGTCGATAAGGCCAGCGAGAAGTGTGTCGAGCACGCGTGTATTCCCGAATCATTTTATCGACAATATTAACTGCCCCTTTGGTGGAATTGCATGATATACAGACTTATCCTTGCAGACAGATTGCGCAGATAGGATATATACAGTTTATTTTTCTTTTGTACATAAACTACCATAACAACTTATCCAAAAAGATAAGTTCGGACGAGAAAACAGCTCAGTTTCTACAACCCTTTCATTGCAGTGTGTAACAATTTCTAATTTGTTTATTGGGGGTGAAAATGGAAGACTAAACAATTACTCGGCTTGGGAATAGGACAAGCAAATATATTAACACATTTGTAAACGGCTATTCGTGCTTTCGTTGATGAGCTGAGTCGTAAATAAGGTCTGAGATGTCTTTGACAACATTACGCAAGAACATTCCCAAAATATTTAAAATAGGACGCCGCCTAAAAAAAATCCGCTTGTTTTTTGGAAAGAAAGGTTTTTCTTTCCTATAAAATTTTAAGGATGAATATTTTTTTAAAAGAAATAATTTTTAAACTTCTGGTTTACAGATTTTATTTCACATAAGCAGTTATCACAAATAAGAATGTCTAAATTTATAAACAAACCTTACAATAAATTGGACCTTCTAACAAAACGGTTCAAAGCAGGGTAAGATTTTTGGTCAGAAGAAATTAGGCCAAGGCTAGAAACGTAAAGAAATTATCTGCAGTAACTCCCCGACCAATGCCATATAAATCTGTTACTACTCTGAAACCTTGATTTTTCTTAGGTTGTGCTCTTGGTTGTTTGCCTGTGTAAATTTACAACTTATGCAGGTATATTGTTTCCACGTCTGCTAGTGCCCAAATATTAGCACCGTACTTTGTAGACTTTGAGTTTATATACTGGTATGTTTACAGATACTTTTCTTCATGTCATGAGTCAGGAAACAGTTAAAAATCTCAAATATTTGTTTATAATTGCTGGAATATGCCGTTGTTCTTGCCAAAGCTCCGTAGACGTACAGACTTTGCAGTACATATTTTGTTGCTTCTTCTAACTTTCTCCTCTATATGTTCTCCTTCCTTCTCCTCTCCAACCTTATTTTTTACTATTGTATTTTCAGCCAGCTTGTTATTGTTGGTATTCACCTAACCTGCTGTTATCAACAGGTCCTCGAAGACACTTCGTCTCAGGACCATATAACCTATGTGGGGTTATACGTCGCAATGTTGCCAATTCCAACGGTAACTTATACATCCTAATTTGTAATTATATATAATGTAAAATAACTATAAATTTATAAGCATTTAACAGGTTTTGACCCATATATTTTGGTGGCTCATAGCATGTATACCCCGTTTACCTTGATGATGGAATTAACATTCCAAAAACGTTCTGTAATGTAATTGTGATAGCCCGTTTGGGTATTTTATTATATACCTTTTATAAAGGATTTGAAATAAAAATTTTTTGTGATATATCGTTTACAGCCAGCTACAGAAACTTAGTTTCCTAGTGGATTTTTTTAAGAGTTAAATATCTTTCTTCTGCAACATACACGAATGTACACATTCACAAATTTTATTAAAGTATTTTTTTGTTCCAGATGAATCCTGAAGAGGAGTCTATTTTAAATGATAATCAACTCCAAGATATAATAAATAGATATGTTACGGAGCTACAGGAAATGAAAAATGAAGAGATAGTTAACAATACAGCAGAGTCCACATATGTTAAAATAAATAATTTCTCAATACGTGCCAAAGAAAATAAAATAGCAAAAGAACAATTTTACTTAACAGTTAACTACCAAACAGATGGAAAAGAATATAAAGCGAATTTTTTTATAAAAATTATTAGCAAGTTAAATTCGCTAATGTATCAAATAGCCGAAGAGACATCTGCGTTTGAAAAAGAAAAGTTTTTCTACGATTTATATGTTCCGTATCTACGAGAAGAAGGTTTTGATTGCGACTACATCTGCAAAAGTTATTTTTGTGAGTCGGATGTTGTTGTATTAGAAGATCTCGATGTATCCGGTTATAAAATCTTTGAAAAAGAAAAGTATTTGGACTTGGATCATTGTAGAGCCTGTTTGAAAACCATGGCCCGACTCCATGCCGACTGTATCCTGTTTGAATTAAATAAATCAAAAGATCTTGATTGGGAATATAAACTGGAGGAAGCATTTCCAGAAATATTTGAAGATATGATATTTATTGACCTAAATAAATTAATTATTAAACACTGTCAAAATGTAGTAAGGGGATTACGCAAACTCACGAGTTTTCTTCCTGATCATCCAATATCCGATAAAGAATTCGTTAGTGCATTTGATAGAGGTCTTTCAAAAATACCTAAAGAACTCAGTGCTTACATTAAAAACTACAGATCAGTCATATCTCACGGTTGCTTATGGGCTAATAAGTTTCTTTTTAAGTATGATGGAGATAATAACATAATTTCTTGCAAAATTGTAGATTTTCAAACTATAGGTATACAGCCTCCAATGTATGACGTCCTCCTCTTCTTATATATGAATACAAGAAAAAGTTTTAGAGACGAATATCTTCAAGATCTATTTGACTATTATTATCAGTGCTTCTCAAGTTATATTGAAAAAGGAGGTTATACTGCAAGCGAAATTGTCAGTGAGGGGGAGTTTTATGAGACGTATAAGAAACTGAGGTTTCTTTGCAAAGTGCATTCAATGATAGATAAAAGTTGTATATTAATACCGGATGTGATATATACCAATCATTTAAAAAATGCCGAAGATTTTACATATTTTTTTTTCGAAGGTCGCCCAGATATTATGGTTAAGGTATTTCTGGGCAATAGTTATTATAGAGAAATTGTAACAGAAGATTTAATTGAAATGCGATCGATTTTATTTGACGAGGAAAGATAATTTTATTTACTATAAAAAGGCAGTGACGTTATTAGATTTTTAAATTGGTTCTGAAACTGTTTTATTGTAGCAAGTCCAAGTTAAGTATTATGTTTATATAGTATTTTCTCTAAAGGGTGTTTCAAAAAAAGGTAACTTTGTCTCTAGGGTAGGTAAAAAACTGAAAAATAATTGGGGTTTTCTTAGTAAAAATTTTTTGTAACGGCATCCGTTTTCAAGATACAGGGCGTACAAAAAATTTTTACGCCTTTTTTACAATTTTGCCGAAACTACTGGCAACATTGTAATAAAATTTTATACGAATATGTTTTGGAAGCTAATACATCTCATGAATTTGTTTTTTCTTTTTTCTAAAGATTCCATTAACCTTCTAAACGGTATGGGATCAGCTATTATGTCATTAAATTGACGTTGAATCCTTTCTTCCAATTCTTGGCGTGAATCTGTCTCTGTAGCATAGACTTTTTTATTAATATACGACCTAACTGCGTAGTCCAAAGGGTTAAAATCACGTGATCGAGGAGGCTAATGAATGGAAGCTTCTGCACCTCTACCAATCCATCGATTCGGAAAATGATTACTCAGCCAATTACGATACCTTCTATCAAAGTGTGGTGGACCTCCATCGTGCAGAAAAAATAAAGATCTTTGCTTGTTTAGCGTTAAATCTTCCAATATCTCGAATAAGGAATTGTTTAAAAAATCAAGATACATGTCACCATTTAAATTTCCAGGTAGAATATGATAACCTATTAATTTGTTATCTAAAGTTGCTGCCCAAACATTAACTTTAAATGTGTGTTGGTAATGTGATACCCTTTTGACTCGTGGATTCTCATCACACCGGTAGTGTGCATTATGGGAGTTAAACATACCTTGTCGCGTAAAGGTGGCCTGGTCCGTAAAAAGAATGCATTTTAAAAAATTTGGATTGTGGGCTGTCCTTTGTTGCAATGTTTCACAAAAATCCACTCTAACCGCTAGATCATCTGGCAAGAGCTCTTGGACTTGTCTGTAATGATAAGGGTGTAATTGCTGTTTTTTCAGTATCCGCCAAGTACTTGAAGAAGAAGTATTTGTTTGTCTTGCTATATTCCTTACAATAACTGTTGGATCTTGATCAAGTAAATTTAAAATATTATTTTCTTTATACATTGTTCTTGTTGTTCTTGGTCTACCAGAATTTATTCATATCTCTGGTCTACCAGAATTCACCAGAATTTCCAGTTTCTCGAAAATGTCGTTTAATGGCTCTAAATGTTTTTTTACTTGGTAAGTTTCTTCTAGGAAATTTTTCTGCATAACGTGTCACAGCTGCACTAGAACATCCTAAACATTCGACTAAGGTTAATTACCACGTCAGAGTATTCAACATTTGAGTACATTTTGATTTGATTTTACAAATAACAAGGTTTTAAAACTCTAATTATTGTTAATTTATCGTCATAACAATCAATAAATGTCAGATTTCCATGGCACACTTGGAGAAAATAGAGGTATACCTCTCATACTTTATCATTACTACCAGCATCAATTATTACTTCAGAATTTTCAAATCAAAATATTCCGAAAACGGTACACAGTACCAAGAGTACCTTTTTCTTGTAAAATTGAATGATGTTTAAGTTTACTTGCGTGTAACTAGCGCCCTCTATGAGAATCGGATATAAAAACAAATTCATGGGATGTATCAGCTTCCAAACCATATTCGTATAAAATTTCAATCCAATGTTACTAGTAGTTTCGGCAAAATCGTAAAAAATGCGTAAAATATTTTTTCTTCAGTGTCCTGTATCTTGAAAACAGATAGCGTTACAAAAATTTTTTACTAAGCAAATCCCAATTATTTTTCAGTTTTTTACCTACCCTAGAGACGGGGTTACCTTTTTTATATATATATATATATATATATATATATATATATATATAATACAGGTATACCCTGTATAAGGCGCTCAGTTATAAGAATACTGGTTATAGGAATATCCGGCTTTAACCCTAGAGTACTAACTTTATTTTTACCTTTATTTAAACTAACCATCGTAAAATTTACTACGCTGACAAAAAAAAGTGGTCACTGAAAAAGTATTTTATTTATTTTAACTTTACCAATTATTTTGAACGAAGAGATATTTCTAAATTCTGAAAATCACAAAAAAGTGATAAATTATACATTTTAGAACTACATTGCTGACAATAAAGGGTGAAATGTTCGCCACAAAATGGACGTCGGCAGTATTCGCAGTGATGGACTGTCATTCGACGTTTTTTTTAGACGGACAACATTGACACATGGCACGGTTTGACACAATAGAGCATATTCGTTCTTGCTTGGCTCCAGATTTAAAATATTTTTCATAGAAAACTTTACTGAGCTGTTCAAAGTTAGCCAATTTACACGATGGTGTAGCCAAGGTTTCGTCAGTTGTTCAGACAAAATGACCATACATTTTTTTCTGGTGATGGTTTTTTTCTGCTATCATTTTTGGTAATGATTATAAAATTTAATGATACCTTTATCTTTATCCATATCTTTATCTTTATTTTCTTAATAACTTGCTTTCAAGTTGGATCACATTTTACTGGACTGTTGTAGATTGTCAACAGAAGAAGTACATACTTATTTACTTTTATCTTATAGAATACCATTGTTTTTTCACCACAGAAACAAAATGAATAATGACCAACTTTACGATTTTTGAAATTTTTAATCTCGGGAGGTATTTCTCTTTTATTTCGCCATAGAGTATCAACTATAGTTAAATTGTAAGGAGGGTTTAAGAGCTCTGTTAAGCAGTAGAAGCAGTCAATTGGTTTCAGTTCCCTTTCCTAAATACAATTCTGTATCGAACATATATTTGGTACTTACGTCACATAGAGTCACTAATCCCGAACCTTCGAAGGTGGGTGGACTGTGGACATAGGCAGCTAGATTATTATCTGACGCAAATGCTCACAGGCCATGGCAGCTTCCGCAGCTACCTTTTCAGGTTTTGGAGGAGTCCGATCAGTGCCTTTACTGTGGTCACCCGGATACTGTGACATACACGATGTTGGAGTGTCAGCATTGGGCAGATGAAAGAGACAAGTTTAAAGGAGAGTATTCCTGCAAAATGTTTGATTCAGTGAACAAAATGGTGAAAAATAATGATGAATGAGGAATAAGTGGTGGTAATTTTCTCTTCTCTCGTTTTTCAAAAGAACGAAATTTTTTTTTATCTTAACATAAACTTATTATATACGGTCTTTGCTTTCTGTACTCTTTACTGCTGTGTGTGTTGCATCTCTCTGTAGCATTGTTTACCACAATACTTTTTTCTGTCCATATCTTTCTTATACTAATGATTCATCATCCGTAATTCTTTTTTGTCCCTATCAACTTATTTGCCAATGTACCTAATTTGTCCGATTTATCTGGATATCTAATGTACCTCATAAACAACTGTATGTCAATAGCACATTAAACATAGGACTCAACAATAGATATTCCGATAATTTTAAGTACGTTTGGTAGCTTTTAAAACCTTCAACAATGTAGCTAAGTATTTTGTAACTATGACGTCATTGCTTATTTGCCGTAAATAGGGTTTAACAAGTATTTTTTTTAAAGTGTTTTATCTGTTCTTTGTAATATTTACAATAAATTATATATTTCATATACTTTTGTAATTTTTATTGTACTTTTGTATTATTCTGTGTTCTACAAAAACACAGAAAGTTAAGAAAAAAATATTTGGACAGATTTGGTACGTTTTTATGTTAGAATATACTCATTATAGGTTATTGACGAATATAAATTATGGTATATTTTAAAGTATACCATCATTATGGAAGATTTCAAAAAAAAGGTAAAAAAGAAGAAAATACCCAAACTAAAATGGGCTGCTTGGTTATAGCACACGAAATGAAAGAAGAGAAAAATTATATAACTTCTTAGAACAACAAAATTTATATGCCATGAACACACACTTCAAGAAACTGGCAAACCGAAAATACACGTAGAAATATCCTGATAAAAAGACGAAAAACGAGTTCGATTATTTCTTGTGTTGGAACAAAGACATTTTTGAAGATATAACTACTCTCAATCGATTCATAACTATGTATTTAGGGCTTAATGTGATAGGTACTGATACAAATCCTTTTATTAGAGTATTAAAACTAAGAATTCATAAATTAAAAAAAAGTCCATACGAATTAAAATTCACTTGGAAAAAAGCTCATATAGGACTTCGTGGCAATGAAGTTGCAGACTCCTTAGCCAAAGAAAGCGTTACAACAGGAGCATATCAACAACAATTTAGGTGCTTAAGAATATTTAATGATATCTAAGAGTAATTTTAAGGCAAAATGGGAACTGCATTGGAAAAACTATTGCTCTAATAACCTGACACGATACACACTATTACATCCAAGTATTCCAAAAGATTTTTGGCACCAAGATTATGATTTTACAAAAAATGATATTGTGACCATGTAGGCTGAAATTCGGACATGCAATCTACCCTCATCATCAACACTACCCTGCAATCAACACTTATATAAAATCGGTGTAGTCAACACCGAACTTTGTAAAACTTGCAATGTGGTTTGCGACTTGGATCACATTTTTTATGCTTGTATTAAATTTGAAATACAAAGAGAGGAACTTATTAATAGTTTAATATTGCAAAAATAATACCCCCCTTTCAATCTACTTTATTTGATATCATTTAATATGTACAAGGTATATAAAATTATTCTTAAGTTTATTAAAATGTGTAACTTAAAACTTTAGTGTAGGTATGTAGGTGTTAAGCTCGTTACCTCTATTTAATCACCAAGTATTTTACGTTTTTACCTATACTTTCCGTGGTCTACACTTTCTGTCTGTGAGTCACCTTGAATGACCCCTAGGTGCGAAAAGTAATCCTAGTTCCTCTCTCATTGTAATTCTTCTTTTAATTTCCACAATTGTAGTGTATTTAGCTTAGTTAGATTAGGTTATTAAGTGAACTTTATTACACATTTGTTGCTGGCTAGATGGGCACTTAGCCCGATTGCCATTAAAAAAAACTATTTAGGGCAGCGATCATCGACTTTTAAGAGCAAGGATTCTTATTAAACAGACGAAAACCAGTAGAAACAGACCACATAATTATTGTAATCAGATAGATCAAACTGAAATACGGCAGAAGGGAGATGAGTACAAAGAAGTCTTAAGAGAAGAATTTGTAGAACATTTTCAATAAGAATATTCCGACATGAATACAATTAATAAAGAAATGTAACTAAAACTCTTGAAAGCAGGACTGACTGTAGCAAAAAAAAAGGAAAAATAAAGAAAACAGAATAAGTAATGAAACAAAAACGATTGGTGGAAAAAGAGACGCACATTTCTAAGCGAAGGAAAGCGAAACACCGATGGTTTTAAAGAATTGAATAAACAAATAAATAAGGGAGTAAACTAAGATTTAAGGGTTTATAGTGAACACTAAGTAAAAAAACTAATAGAAAAGAACCGAAGCCTGAAATGCTTAGGATCAAACTTAAAAAAGCCTATAATAATCTCATTGAAGGATAAAGATGGAAAAGAAATAAGAGAAAAGAACAAAATCCTAAGAGTTACTCTAACATTTTACCGTGATTTATACTCCTCAAACAAAAACATAGATAACACTGCAAATTAAGATCTTAAGATTAAGATAACGAATTTCAACTCGGAAATACTCCGTAACATAGAATCCTGCGAAATAAATCTACTATGACACAACAAAATGACAATAAGGCTCCGGACCAAGATGGAATACTTCTAGAGATGTTAAAAGAGGGAGGTAAAATTATTCTCGAAGAAATAAAAAAAAATTTTAACGAATGTCTTCACAGAAGAGATGTTCCAGATGATTGGAAGGAAATATTGACAATACTTATCTTCAAAAAGAGAGACAGGGGAAATCTGAAGAACTGTAGGCCAATCTCCTTGCTGTCCCAAAGATAAAAACTATTTATGAGAGTAATAACTAACAGGTTAACGTCGAAGCTCGATAGCTATCAACAAGTAGAGCAGGCAGGATTCCGAAAAGATTACAGTACAGCGGATCATCTTCTTACCGTCAAAACTCTAATAGAAAGAACGAATAAATGTCACTTGAACTTGTAGATTGGCTTCGTTGATTATGAAAAGGCATTCCATAGAACTTTGAGAAATAGAAAGAGCTATAAACAACTGCAGGATATACTCCCGATACTTAATGCTCCTACATAATATTCATAAGAAAACTACAATGAAAATACTAATAGATGCACAAAGCAAAGCTATACCAATCAACAAAGGAGTTCGCCAGGGAGATATTATCTCACCAAAGCTATTAACACTTGGACTGGAAGACGTGTTCAAAGACAATAACTGGGTAGATAAAGGAATAAATGTTAATGGAAAAAAATGAATTATTTAAGATACGCTGATAACACTGTAATATTCACTACAAGTTAGAGAAATATCGTTGAACGACATAAATTTATAAACAGTAAGCAAATACGTCTACCTGAAACAGATAATAAAAGTTAACAAAGAAAATCAAACTGCCGAAATAGCCAGAAGAATAAGGTTAGCGTGAAGAGAATTTGGAAAACTGAGTTGGATCTTGAAAAGCACTAAAATAGGACAATATTTGAAAACCACAAATTACGAGCAGTGTATCCTCCCTATACTCAAGTATGGTTCACAGACGTGGACACTCAACAAGTCTAATTTGGATAAAATAGTAAAGACACAAAGAGAGATGGAAAGATCAATGGTCGGGGTGAGACTTATAGACAAAAAAACAAAAAATAGATTAGAAGCAAAACCACAGTAAAAGATGACGAAGAACATGCTGCCAAATTAAAATGGAGCTTTGCAGGACACAATGCCCAACTAAAAGATAAGAGATAAAACCATGAAATACAACAATGGAGACCATGGTTAGGAAAGAGAAGCAAAAAAAGATCACAAATGAGATGTCCTGATGACATTAAGAAGATTGGAGGACACAACTGGAAGCAAGAGGCACAAAATAGAAGACACTGGATTGATTTGGGGGAGGCCTATGTCCAAAGTAGGAATACTTAAGGCTGAAGGAAACGAAGCACAAGGCGAATATGAATAAATATAGATAAATATAGTTAAAGTTATACTTAGAGTGCAGTACCGTGAAGATAGAAATGCATATTCGCCGAATTCCACGTCATGTGATTTTATTTCTCCGTGACAAGATACAATAAAAATTTTAGTGTAAAGTAGCTTGGAATTTACCAAAATGCTAAGATGTGGATAGTGAGGTGCTATATTCTTTGTATACCACTGTACGTAGTATATAGAGACGAAAAATCTCTGTCAATGGTTAAAAATCGCTAACTTTTTTAAAGAGTGCTAAACAAAATCAAGATAACCTTGATGATCGGCAATATCTAAAGGGTATAAAGGCACTGAAGAAAAAAGTTATTAAATTATGATTATCTATAGACACAAACAGTTAACTCATGTTAATTTAGCGAGCCAAATGCAAACATATGTATCTCAAAAGTTACGATAAGTTTGTAAAATTGACTGTTATTTATATTTGTAGCATACAAAACAATTTACCTCAAGGTATTTTCAATATTACCAAAATTAGCATAAATGAACACAACAAATGTTTCCAACTATATCAAATTTGCATTGAAACTACTGGAAAATACAGCATCGTCATACAAATAAACCACAAATGGTCCTAAGTTTGTTAATTAAAATACCGCCCTTCAAATTGACTTGTCACACCAAAAATACAAACTGTGATGGATTGATGCAATAAGACTATTTTCGTGTTTAACGTATATAAAACTTTTTCAATATTCGCTGATGAATAAACTAATTTCGGTGACGTCAAACCGTGCTCAAAAACCTTTATAAATGACGAAATTAAAATTTTATCTTTAAACAGCCATTCGCGAAAAATAAACTTTTAAAAAAGCGGAATATAGATAGGTGCAGATTTTATTGGAATAGCGACTCAAATAAAAAAACAAGTGTTTATAAAAACTAGCCCAAAATGTAGCATTTTTTTAATTATCAAGCACCAAACTTGAATTAAAGTTAATGATTCTCATTAAAACGGACAAGGTCTGTAAAGGAGCATTTTGTATTATGTAATTTACTTTATACAATAAAAATTGTTCCGTTCAAAGCTCCAACAGTGTTTTCTGCATTTGTATCAAAATGAAATGTAATTTAATTGAAATGGCTCATTGGGGCAACCAATATAGCAAACTCTGAAATGTACTTTAATGCACCAATGTAACAAAAATGTGTGAGTGTAACAAAATATGATATTGGCTAGCAGACTATGCCGGATAATGATCAATTGACACTCAAGGAAGGATTGGGCCAATTTGAACAGCGGAGCAAGCGGTGGCAGCTTTAACGTGTTTGAGAAAAAACAAAACTCAGTTCAAAAGTATTATTCACCGAAGAACTATTAAAAATCATCCAAAACTACTGCGAGGAAACTCCCGATAGAGCACAAAAATTTTTTTCACCTTTGTTCATTTCAACTTTCTCAGGGACGTAATAACTCTGCCTGTATTAGGTGTGGGGTAAACTGAGAAGCTTTACACTTGATGCAACCGGTCTCAAGCCCGAATAAAAGAGCAGGGGAGAGGAGCAACACCTCTATAAAAAACCAGGGTTCAGCTGGTGTGGCTGATAGCACCCTGTAAGGGCCCCTTTCATGGGTTACTGATAAACCGAATGATTGCCAGTATAAGCAATCTCCCACTTACTGGCCAACAGCTTCGGGCGGATAAGCATGCGGGATGCATTTTGTTTTCATAGTCGTAGGTAGAGGGGACTTTCAAAAACTCGAGGTATAAATAAAAACTCATAAACATAAGTAAGTATAGTATTGACACACCCTGTATTATAAATTGCATTAAAAAATAAGTCAGTAGGTATTTTTAATTTTTTTTATAGCAGAAGAATCTTAATGTTGATACCTATTTTGTAAAAAATAGTTTTTTCGAAACTAAGTAGGCTACGACAATGAATTTGACAGGGAGTTCATATTGTTTATTTATTGACAGCAGTCAAAACATTGTTAAGAAGAACTATATTATAATTCGAATTAAAGATTGCACTTTTTTCAATAGATATTAATATTGGTAATATTAGTAATTAATTATCAGTACAAATAATTCGTGATGGGCATATCAAATTATATGATATGATTGGAGATTATTTCGAATGTCACCAAAATGCCGCTATTGTTTCACGTATATATTTTGTAAGATATCGTGACAGGAGACATTATGGCAAAGAAGTATTTGAAAGAAAGTCAAAAAGATTAAGAGAAACTGGTAGTTTTTCTCGTTCTTGTTTTAAACGACATAGTAGAGTTATGACCGAAGATAATTCAAACAATGTTCTTGCTTTAATTCAAAAAAATCCACATATAAGTAGTCCGAAATCTCTACTTCTTTGCCACAATATCTCCTGCCAGGATATCTTACAGAATATATACTTGAGGCAATAGCGCCCATTTTGGTGATATTCGAAATAAACTCCAATCATATCATACAATTTGATATAATCATCACTAATTATTAGTACTGATAATTAATTACTAATATTACCAATATTAATATCTATTAAAAAAAGTGCAATTTTCAATTTGAATTATAATACATATAACACTTCTTAACAATATTTTAACTGCTGTCAATAAATAAACAATATGAACTCCCTGTCAAATTCATTGTCGTAGCCACTTAGTTTCGAAAAAACAATTTTTAATCATATGAAATAACAATCAACATCAAAATAGGTATCAACATTAAGTTTTTTGCTATCAAAAATTTTGAAAGTACCTACTGACTTATTTTTTAATTTATTTTATAATACAGGGTGTGTCAATACTATACTTACTTATGTTTATGTGTTTTTATTCATATCTCGAGTTCGATAAAAGCTATTAACATGCGGTTTGCGCCAATTTGTTACAAATTTAATCCAGTTCCATTATAATTTACAATAAATAGGTGTTTCCATTAAAAATTTTAAAGAAAAACAAATTTTAATTTTTTCTATTCGAAAGTACCCTCTACCTACGACAATTAAAACTAAATGCAATTATTTTATACTACATGTAAATTATTTCATCCATACTCTTTCTAATGATACTAATTTTGTTAAAATCGGTTGATCCAAACCAAAGTTATAGGTATTTACCCACAAATACTTTCCCACTCTCCCCCACCCTTTATTTGAAAAAATAAAAAAAGTACTTGAACAACTTTGTGCAGAATTTAAGCTTCTTTCTAGTTAACTTATTTAACACTTGGTATAATTGGACATATTTCCCAAAAGACTGGTTTTCAAAATTTTCTTCGCAGGTTACGCCCCCTAGCGGTTAATCCAGAATCTTGAAAGTTATTTCCAGCGATTTCTCTTGGCCACTTTTACTAAGGATTTTTTCTCCTAAAGTTATAACGAATAGTTTCTGATATATAGCCGAGAGATCGGCTTATTGGACCACCCGGTACATTTAATATTGTTAACAAATAAATAAAGATTATGTTTCGTTGATAATATGGTGCATTAATTTTCTCGTGAAACGTTTGTGAAGTTTGGTCGAATATCATTCAAGAGAAAATTAGTTACTGGCAAAATTTTTTTCTGATTTTATTTAAATTTGTTGCCTTATAGCAATTTTTGGTTATGAGATTTTGGCAAAATCACTTGATTGACGTCTCGTGATTTAACTGTCAAAATTTAATTCGCGAAAATTGCCAGTCAACAAACTTTTATACCCGTTGAAAATATTGCCGGCAAAATTTTCTCTTTTATGATATTATATTAATATACGAACAATGATTTATTAGAATTAAATGTAAGTCTGTCTTACTAGTAGTTGGCTTCAATCCAAAGATCCTCAAGATAGAGAAATATACGCTAAATGGAATAGAGAAGTTAAAAAAGACGTGGATAAGGCGAAAAATATAAACTGGGAGGCTAAGTGTGATGAACTGGACAGATTTATGGGTGGAACAAAAGTGGCGCAAGCTTGGAAAACATTAAAACAGTTTAGGAAAAAATGAGAAAAATGAAGACAACATTTCTCTCATAAAGTTAAATGAATGGGAAGAATATTATACGAAACTGCTGAAAGAGGATAGAGTAGAGTACAGATGAGAAAAGATAAGGAAATTAATAGACAACAGAGACGAAAGACAGGAAATCCCTATAATAACATTATCTGAATTGACGGAAACCTTAAAAGAGGTTAAAAAGGGAAAAGCCGCAGGGCCTGGAGACATTCCCATAGAGCTGGTTAAATATTTGCCGACTGCACTTTTAGAATTAATAGTAGACCTGTTCAATAAATGTATGTGTGGAGACCAGAAAATTCCTAAAGATTGGAATAAATCTTATAGAAGCTCCATATATAAGAGAGGGAATAAAAGAGACTGTTCCAATTATAGAGGTATTAGTGTGACGAGCTCTGTGGGCCGGTTGTACGGCAGAATATTAAAGAAGAGGGTTGAAAGACAGATACAAGATATTGAAGAACAAAGTGGCTTTCGTACTGGGAGATCCTGCCTTGATAATATATTTATCCTACGACAAATAATTGAAAAACGTGTCGAAAGAAGTAGAGAGACCCATTTGGTATTTATAGACCTTGAGCAAGCATATGATAGTGTCCCGTTAAAGAAAATGTTTGAGGTCCTCAAAAGGTCCGGATTGGATTCGACGTCTATCCGAGCGATATATAAATTGTACGAAAATGCAGTTAGTTGTGTAAAAATTGGAACCAGAACCTCAAATGAATTTAAAGTCACTAAAGGACTAAAGCAAAGATGCTGTTTGTCACCGACACTCTTTAAAATATACGTCCAAGAAGCATTGAGGAATTGGAGAAATAAATGTAGATTTATGGGCATCGAAGTGGGACAAGAAACTCTGTATACATTGTTGTTTGCAGATGATCAGGTGGTGGTTGCAACCGATGAGGAAGATATAAATTATATGAATCGAAAATTATTTGAGGAATATGCCAAATGGGGGCTTACTGTAAACATAAGCAAAACAGAATATTTAAAAATTGGAGGAAATACCACAGATCTGAGGCTTTAAAACGCAGTCATAAAAGGCTGCAACCAGTATAAATATCTAGGAAGCATCATATCAGCAGATGGCAGAGTTAAGATAGATGTACAAAACCGAATAACCCAAGGGAAAAAATGCATCCGAATACTGAATTCACTACTGTGGTCTAATAAAATAAAAATGCATACCAAACTTCGCGTATACAGAGCAATTGTAGAAACAAATACCACATATGGTGCCGAATGTTGGACGATGACAAAGAATGAACGAGATAAAGTAGACGTTGTGGAAATGGATTATCTTAGAAGGTCATGTCGAGTATCGAGAATGAAAAGAATTAGGAATGAGGAAATACAAAACCGTACAGGAATTAGAGATACTCTCTGATATAGAATACAAGGAAGGCAATTACAATGGTATGGTCACGTGATGAGAATGGAGGAGGAGCGGTGTCCAAAGAAAGCCTTAATGTATGTTCCGCCAGAAAGAAGGAAAAGGGGAAGACCACCAAATTCCTCGAGAAGAGAAATTACAAAAACAATGCAATCTAGAGGCTTAGAAGAGGGAGATTGGAGAGATAGGAAAAGATGGAGGCTGAAATGCGGGAAGCGGCAATCGCCGTAGGACCCCC